TTGCTAGCAAAGACCTTGGCATGTTTTTAGTGGCGTGGTCGCGTCAGCTAGTCTTGTTAAACACCAGTCGCTGCAGAGATGATACATATGCATCTAGATCTGCTAGTTAATTACAAGCTCAATGATATCAATAGATCTTTTAGAGGTAATGTTCTCGGCCCTCGCAAATCGGCTAGCTGGTGGACTTAGCTCAGCTCAACTCAATTACTCCACTTACTTTCGACCACTATGTCAGCCAATACACAAACATTGAAACCCGTCGACCTGCGTTCTATCTTGACTTTCACTGTCAAGCTCGCGCGTACTGCCGGTACATTGATTCTGGAAGGCTCGCAAGCCATTCAGTCAACTTCGGATGTCAATGAGAAGAAGAATTCCGTTGATTTGGTTACTGAATACGATGTTGCTGTCGAGGAGCTCGTGAAGAGCGAAATCACAAAAGCTTACCCCAGCTTCAAATTGTGAGTCCATAAAACGCGCAGAAACGGGATGATGCTGATCGATCGATCCATGTCTTCAGCATCGGAGAGGAATCATACTCCTCTGGAACACGCAATGAGCTTACAGATGAGCCGACATTCTGTGTTGATCCGATCGGTGGGCCACGATCTGCTATTGAGTTAGTTGAGATCTAACAGTGACTTTCAGACGGCACCACGAACTTCGTCCACGGCTTCCCATTCGTTTGTATTTCTCTCGGGCTGATCTACCAGAAGCGACCTGTTCTGGGTGTCATATACAACCCCTTCCTAGATCACCTTGTGCGCAGTATACTACTATCGCATTGAACGCAACCACTGACTCTTACACAAAGTACACCGGGATCGAAGGCCAAGGATCATTCCTTACCCGTGGTAATGGCCAACCTCTAAAATTACCCCTTACCAACCCTAAGCCCCTCCCCTCCTTGCAGAAGGCTCTTCTGGGTATGTCATTCGTCATGCACGAGAATATCCAAACTTACTTTCCCAGCTGTCGAATGGGGCTCTGACCGTGGCAAAAAGACCCTGGTACCAAAATCCGATTCATTCTTGCGTCTCGCGGGCGATCCTGCAGATGGCATCGCAGGGGGACGGATGGCTCATTCCATACGGTCCCTAGGTAGTGCAGCGCTTAATATCTCAATGGTTGCTCAAGGTGGCCTAGATTTGTTCTGGTGAGCCGTATCATTGCACATATTACACTTCATGACACAAACGTGTTCCCCTGACGCAACGTGGATAGGGAAATCGGTTGCTGGTAAGTGTGCTACACTTTTATGTTGACCATCACGTTAATTCCCAACAAGGTCATGGGATGTCTGCGTAAGTAGACCTGTTGTATATGCTCGATTTCTTCACCTCACCTGTTTCTACAAGGCCGGTATCGTTATTGCCCAAGAAGCGGGTGGTGCAGTAGTTGGGTCTCATGCAGCTCTGGCCGCTGCAACATCTGCTGGCTCTAGCATTGATCCTTTCAAGGTCACGCCAGAGGTCTTGACAGGTCGCAAGTATTTGATCATCCGTGCTATTCCGGACACCCCCAACGAAACGGGTAGAGAGGCGCAATTGCGGATTGCTAGGGATTTGTACCAGACTGTGGAAGATAGTGAACCGAAGTAGAGTTTTCCTCGCTGGATACTTCAAGGTGCATAGAGTGGGATACGAAAATGATCCAACGTGATGTATATCGACCCGGTGCATGTTATTGGATACTTAACTTAGCATTCTTGGAGAAATAGCTCGTAAAACACAACGGCAGGTCGCGATATTACCAGACGAATAGTGCAACAGCGTCGTACACATACATGAGCCAAAGGTGATCGGTGATGTCGGAAGAGATGCCGGCAGCCTGACGACCAAACACCATCAATGTCGAGGCTATGAGCAGCTTACCAGGGGAATACCGGCGGGCTAGGATAACATTTACATCACCAAACGCTAGTTCTCCCTACAGACTCCAGAGGCGTTTGGACCCACCATAGTAACATGTCTGTCGACACTTCAATTTTTTTTAGCTAAGAGGTGCATTCACTGGACTCACTCACGGTTCACCTTGGAATTTTGAAATGCCACCGGCCCATCAAGCAGCTTGATGTGAAGTTCGTGGGTTATTTTGGGCTATGCAGTACTAATTATAGATCATTTTGTCATCGACATACGTGGGACTCTGTGATCGGAGCTCGGCTGTTACAGACCTGACAACCAAGTCACACCGACCCGTCATGACAGATCTAACATGACAGCTTTGCAATGCAGATCGCAAAGTTTGGCTGTGGTTTTCTGGTTAACTACGAGTTTGGCGTCGACATTCTCCAGACGAAGCCTTGCTTCAGTCCCTGAAAATGTGGTCGCGAACTCTTTCGCCGACGCGGAAGATTCAGTTTGTTCACAATTTCGACGTGGTCTCACTGGCATCGTTTCAGCTCAATCCTATTTTGGGACCAATTCAGCGCCTTGTTGTGGGCAGGCTAAGGGCTGTGACTGCAGTGCTTGATATAGCTCTTCTGGGGACGCCAGTCACGTCCCGTGGAAAATAACGACTGCGGCAGAGTCTAAAACAAGCCCTGCATGGGACTAGGACGCATTCCGTGTGACAAAGTCATGCTCTCTCAAGGTGCACGGTTGCACTACTAGCTGCTCTCTCCATTCCACACTCCTTCCGCTAGTCGTCCCGCCTACCTCACAGAAGCTCTTCTTCCTTTGAGCACAACAAGCCATGGATCGTCAGCTTGATCTGCAGCGCAGACAACAGAATGGAAACGCTTCAGTTTCAGCTTCCCCTTCAGCATCAATCTCTGGCTCGGCATCCCTCGTAAACGGGAGTACTCCATTGCCAACAGTCCCGACAGGAGCTCAAGCTGGATCAATCACTATAACCATGCCTCCCATTCAATCTAACTCCTACTACAAAATTGCCCCCAGTGAATATGTTACGTTTGGGTGGAACTTTTCGAGCATCATTGTGACACCCACCGCCCTCACTGTTGCAGCAGTTGCAAACGGGAACACATACCCTATAGGCCCCACCGATGGTGTCATTTCTGGGACCGCTCAGAGCGTGGTCTGGTATCCATATGGCTATCAGACCGCAAACCCTAGCCTTCCACTGGTTCAGGCAAGCTACACGCTTCATATTTGGGCCCAGGGTGGCCCTAGCGCATTCCCCACGCCTGGTTATCTGGAGCCAAACAGCGAGCTTGTGTTCGCTATGTATACGCCACAGGGATACACACCTTTATCTAGTGGTAAGTCTAGGTTCGCCTATACTGGCCGTTTATCTTATTCTTGAATACACTCAGGGTGGCAATGTGCCGGATGCTCAGGAGCGTTACCCCAGCTCAAAATAAACTCGGCTCTTCCCGGTGTTGTCGCAATGATTATTATAATGCTGCTCTCTGGGTTCACTACCCTTCGCCGCGTTTGGGATTGATCTATGATTCCCTAGGTCTGGTTTCTGGGGGTCGTAGAGGATGGTCCCATTTGATTGACATTTAATGGATTATTATGGTTTGTAATTGGACTGGACATTTACATCACATGTAGACTTCATACTCATTGTTTGGCACGATATATATGGACAGGTAATGATGTTACACTTAGGTTAGTGTCAGAACCTTTTGCTGATGTCATTATACACACAGTACTACTGTCATTGATCGAAGCCTATTTTACCTGCGCAGCTTGGACACTAATGGCATGTTCGTGTATTGCTCGGCCTATTGCGCTGTTTCTTGAATGAAACTGGAAGCCTATTCCCGGTACATTACCGGTACCCTGACCCAACCACATGCTACTACCGAACTTTCAGCGCGATTTGCACCAGACTGACCTATTGGTGTCCAAAGGCGTGTCCGCAGGTGAATGGGGTTTTTCCCTTGAGCGCTCCCCTATGTTCGTAATATGATCCGGGAGAGAGCTGTTCATTCTCCTACGTCAGCAGTTCAACGACATCTCTGGAGGACTTCAGTCGGTGACTCAATCCGCTTATCGGTGTGACCGCTGAGGTGTCTGGTTCGGATAACTACAGGTATAGTTTACAACCTTGATTTTTTGGAGAGCATGGGTTCGTGGACGTCCATCATTATATTCTCATTCGTTCTCTTGATTGCTTGTTATCGTTATCAGGGTTCTTACCTGATCCCTGGCAATCTACGAGTCATGGAACTCTGATTCCATTCGTTAAAATACAACATCTCCAGCTCAAAATCCGTTGTGGCATCAAAACTCCTACCGGCGCATTGCACGCAATGTAAAGCTGTGACGGAGCGGGCGCTACGGATAAGAATAGATAAGTATAGCCACCACAGCCTTCACAAATAATTTTCCTGAGGGAACACGCCAGTCCTATCCAATGATACTGATCTACCTTCCTGACACCATGGCCAGTGTGGCTACGTAGTACCGACCGACGGTCGGCCAGTGTCTGGATTCAGGATTTGACCGGCGTAGATATCTCGTAACAGCTCCAGGGAGCTCTCGAAAAATCCAATCTGGCTTGCACCACAGTCAGCATCTATTCAACGAAGGTTTCGGTTCGCAGGACTGACCCTACCCCCACGGGGAACTTATGTGACGCAATGACTTAGTTGATCACGTTGACAGTGTGGTAAGCATATGTGCCGGCCTATCACTCCATCATTGAAATAGGAAGCCCATTCAGGTCTATTCCAGATACCAGTATCAAGTAGACGAACCAGATCGGTGATTATGTGCTATATCGAGCTCTTATCAAAGCAGAAGCTGTTCAAAAGGAGCCGCGCGGCAAAAACGATGTGGGGAAGACATTTTGGCTGACCTCCGATCAACCAATTTTTCTGATCTTTCATCACTGACGCTGACAGAATCATGGCTATAGCCTCCATCGGTAGTTGGGGATAAGTAGAATATTTCTCATTCATTTATTGAAGATGTATATGTGAAGTAGGTCTATTCTGACCTGGGCACGTATATAAGTCCTGCGGACAATTCGCCTCTCTTTCAACTTTTGCACTCCTCATCAGAAACTATATTTCGGAAGTCATGGGTGCTCGCCCAAAGACGATATACCTCCCAGACACTATGGTCAACTGGCCCTGGCCTCGTACCATCAATCCTCATCACGAAGATGTGAAAGCTGAAGTCGATGCTTCATTCCGTGATTTCAAGGCCCTGAGTCCTAAGTCACAAGAAGCATTCGACAAATGTGATTTTGGTGCGACCTATGTCACGAACCCTAGATTCAGACGATGATTTAACACATTTTTCTTATAGCCCTCCTAACAGCACTGCTTTATCCCAAGGCACCAAGAGGTTCGTCGTACTCTGACAATTAACTCACCACAGAACCCTGATTCCGTTCCTGAACAAAATAGAACACCTTCGAAGCGGCTGTGACTTGATGAATTTATTCTCCATCGTGGAGGAGTACACCGACATGGAGAATGAAGCAGTCACGAAAGAAAGGGTGGACATCGTGCTCGATGCCCTACACAATCCTCATAAGATACGACCAAAAGGCGAATGCATTCTCGGTGAAATCACGCGACAGTAGGTGCTTCTGAATTATTTGACGATCATCTGAAGCTCAAGGGGTTTTTGCATAGATTTTGGGCTCGCGCGATCCAATCTGCAAGCCTGCCTTCTCAACGTCACTTCCTTGAAACCTTCGGTGAATACATTAATTCGGTAGTTGTCGAGGCTCTCGACCGTGAGCAAAGCCGTAGGCGCAGTCTCGATGACTACCTGAAGCTCCGGCGCAAAACTGTTGGCGTAAAACCTTCTTTCTCAATATTTGAGATGGGGATAGACCTTCCTGATGAAGTGTTCTACCATCCCGTCATCATGAATCTTGCTGATTGCATCACAGAGCTCATAATTATCGATAATGTAAAGTAATATTGAGGACGTCGTAGTTTGCGGTCTGCTAACATCTTTTATAGGACATGATGTCGTACAACAAGGAGCAAGCGGCTGGGAACGCATTCCATAATTTGATCAGCATTGTCATGTTGGAACTGGACCTCGACAGAGGCAGCGCGATGGCCTGGGCAGCACATTATCACACTGAAGTTCAGAAACGATTTATCGACGGTCTTGCGAAGGTTCCCTCATGGGGGCCTTCCATCGACGTCCTAGTCAAGGAGTACCTCAACGGGGTAGCAAACTTGGCTCGAGCATGCCATTCTTGGAGTTATGAGAGTCAAAGGTAATGAGACTTTTCTTGTTGGTACGAACCATCACTCAACTCGATTGGAATTGCAGGTACTTTGCCACCAAGGGCCTGGAAATACAACAAACTAGGCTTATCCCGTTGTTACCAAGGTCCGATCGCAAAGTCATGTGAATCTATTAAATCTGTTCAGATACAAATCTCTTTTCACAGAATCTGGCGCTAGCCTTTCTTGTACCTCGTAAATTTCGTTTTGATATGTTACTACCATGCTTCTCACTCGGTCTCTCATATATGCCACTCTTGTTCCCCAGTTCCCCAGCCCCCAGCCGACCAGTACTTTGCACTTGCAGTCGCAGTTACTTCAAATTTACGGTCATTTTCTATTGATCATCGTTGCAGTAGGGGTTCCGCGGGCAGGGACTGTGCATTCGGGTACATAGGTTTGTTACCAGGTTTCAACGTTTTTCAACCGTGCCGGTGGTACTTATCATGTCCCACCTTTGTTGTGTGCTGCTCTGAAGAAGCCCTCAGTCCCGCGATATAAACAAGACAAATTTAAAACTCCGCGCTTCGCATGCATATCTATACGCCATCTCAGATCTCTGTTTTACATGAGGTTACGAGTCTACGTAGCTTATATAAGCACGTAGACTATGATCGTATTTAGTATCATCATCACAGCGACGCAGCCTGTCGGTTTTGCTTTGGGCTCAGGCCGCTGGCCCCTGTCCTACCATCATCTCGGATTCGGTCAAGAGCACCACAGTCGGCACGTGACGACTGTGATTCCCAGGCCACATATATTTTGAGGCTGGGAATTCCCGGTTGCTGTTTCGCCAGCCTTGCAGTCGCTGATGAGTCCCAGTGAAAACCGGACAGTGCGGGAACATGCGAGAGCATGCCACATCGTGGCACCGCCAGCTGAAACCGCCTTCGCACGATCTCGACAAGAAATCCGGACGAATACATAAAAGGAGTCCATATCGTGTGTCGTCGTGCGACAGTCGTTCAAGTTGTTTCTACATGGAAAAGATGCCGCTTTCATTACTGTGGGGGGATAGTTGATGAGTACTCGACTACTTTCCAAATGACTCGCGGACAGACTTCTCCGGTGCTGAGTCCACCATCATTTGCGATGGAGGGCATACATACTAGCAATTAATGTTGATCTGATCCTGAGTCAGGATGCAGCCTGAGGCCAGGAGGGCGCAGCCCTCTTTTGGCTTCCTGTGACGAAGGAACAATGCTCATCAGGAGCCTTCAGAATTATTAGGATGAAGCTGAGGCCAGGAAGCTTAAAAAGAGCGCGAAGCGCTCTTTTTTTGCGACCTGTGCCGAAGGCAGAACGGGCGTGTGCTAGTACTACTAGTACCGAGCTTTGAGCGCAATCTGGCGCCAAACTGACCTATTGGCATCCAAACTTAAAGGCGTATCCCGAGGTAAATGGGGTCAGTGACTAGCAATATTCAATCGGCGGCTAAATTCACTTATTTATCGGTGTGGGGGGTGCGGATAACTATAGTAGGCACAGTTTTCAACCTTGATTCTTGAAAAATATGGTTCGTGGCCGCCCATCTTGCTGTCCTGATTCGTTCTCTTATCTTGCTTGTTATCGTTAGTAGGGCTTGTATGTGAACTTAGCGTTCCACGAATCGCGGAACTCTGATTTCATTCGCGCAAAACACAACATCATGATGTTCGACTCAGAATTGGTTGTGGGTGCACAGTAGTATCAAAACTTCCACCGATGCTAAAGCTGTGACGGCGCGGGTGTCACGGATATTAAGACTAGATAAGTATAGTCACCTCAGCCTTCACAAAGATTTTTCTGAAGACATTATAGCAACACGATGATCCTCTCCAGTGATTTCCTAACACCATCATGATGGCCAGTATGGCTATGTAGTATCGACCGTCAGCCGGTGTCTGCGTTCCAGAATTTGAACGGTGTAGATAGCTCGTCCCAGGGGGCGCTTGGAAAGTCCAATCTGGGTTGCACTATAGTCAGCATCTGACCAACGAAGGTTCCAGTTTGTAAGGCTGAAACTGACTCCAGAACTTAATGATTTGGTTGATCACGCTGGCAGTCCGGTAAGCATATGTTCCGGCCTATCACCCCATTTCAACGTTCATTCAGGCCTATCAAAGCAGAAGCCGTTAGTTCAAAAAGAAGCCTTGCGATAAAGACGATGAAGACGTTTTAGCTAACCTCTGACTAACCAATTTTTCTGATGTTTCATCAGGCCGATCCTACTACCTTTGCAGTCTGACGCTGACAGAATCGTGGTTATATACCACATTCATTTATTGCAGATGGATATGTGAAGTGGGCCGATTCCGACCTGGGCACGTACTATATAAGTTCTGCGGGAAGCTCTGGACTGGACCAGCGACAATCCGCCCTTCTTTCAACTTTTGCATTCCTCATCAGAAACTATATTTCGGAAGTCATGGATACTCGCCCAAAGACGATATACCTCCCAGACACTATGGTTAACTGGCCCTGGCCTCGTACCATCAATCCTCATTACGAGGATGTGAAAGCTGAAGTCGATGCTTCATTCCGTGATTTCAAGGCACTGAGTCCTAAGTCACAAGAAGCATTCGACAAATGTGATTTTGGTGCGACCTATGTCACGAACCCTATATTCTGACGATGATTAACATATTCTTATAGCCCGCCTATCAGCACTGGCTTATCCCAACGCACCAAGAGGTTCGTACTCTGGCAATTGACGCATCGCAGAACCCTGATTCCGTTCCTGAACAAAATAGAACACCTCCATAGCAGTTTTGACTTGATGAATTTATTCTTCATTTTGGAGGAGTATACCGACATGGAGAATGAATCAGTCACGAAGGAAAGGGTGGGCATCGTGCTCGATGCCTTACACAATCCCCATAAGATACGACCAGAAGACGAATGCATTCTCGGCGAAATTGCGCGACAGTAAGTGCAAGTACTCCTGACTTGTTTGACGATCATCTGAAGCCCAAGGGTTTTTTGCATAGATTTTGGGCTCGCGCAATCCAATCCGCAAGCCTGCCTTCTCAACGTCACTTCCTTGAAACATTTGATGAATACCTTAATTCAGTAGTTGTCGAGGCCCTCGACCGTGAGCAAGGCCGTAGGCGCAGTCTCGATGACTACATCAAGCTCCGGTGCGCAACTGTTGGGTTAAAACCTTCTTTAACAATATTAGAGATGGGGATGGACCTTCCTGATGAAGTGTTCTACCATCCCATCATCATGGATCTTACTAATTGCATCACAGAGCTCATATTTATCGATAATGTAAAGTGATATTGAGGGCGTCATAATTTGCGGTCTGCTAACATCCTTCACAGGACATGACGTCGTACAGCAAGGAGCAAGCGGCTGGGAACGAATTCCATAATTTGATCAGCATTGTCATGTTGGAACTGGACCTCGACAGTGGCAGTGCGATGGCTTGGGCAGCACATTATCACACTGAAGTTCAGAAACGATTTATTGACGGTCTTGCGAAGGTTCCCTCATGGGGGCCTTCCGTCGACGTCCTAGTCAAGGAATACCTTAACGGGGCAGCAAACTGGGTTCGAGCAAGCCATTCTTGGGGTTTTGAAAGTCAAAGGTAATAAGACTTTCTCGTTGGTATGAACCATCACTTAACTCGATTGGAATTGCAGGTACTTTGGCACCATGGGCCCGAAAATACGCCAAACTAGACTTGTCCCGTTGTTGCCAGGGCCCGATCGCAAAGCCATGTGAATCTATTAGATCTTTCCACAGAATCTGGCGCTAGCTTTTCTTGTACCTCGTAAATTTCGTTTTGATATATATGTCACTGCCATGCTTCTCATCTAGTTTCTCATATATGCCACTCTTGTCCTCCCGTTTCTCTAGCTTTCAGCCGACTACTTTTCATATGACTTTTGTAACCCCACTGGCAGTCGCATTTACGTCAAATTTACGGTTATTTTTTGTTGATTATCGTTGAAGTAGGGGTTCCGCGGGCATTGTGTGTTGCTCTAGAAGCTATCGACAATCTACCAGTGACCCTTTCAGTAAACTCTTCAAATTGAAGCTTTCGCACAACTCGAACTTCATTTCAAACACCGCGCTTCGCCTGCCAAATCTACATCAAACCCAGATGACTACGTAGCTTATAATTAACTTGAAGCACGTCACTAGACCATGTTCGTACTTAGCCGTCATCATCGCAGCCTGCTTGCTTTGCTTTAGGCTTAGGCCGCTGGCTCCTGTCCCACCGTCATCTTAGATCCGCTCAAGGTCACCCACCTTGCAAGCAGACTTGAGTACGCATGGGGACTACTTCCGAGCCCAAAATAACTCGTGGACGCTTTTCCCGAATTGCGATGGAGGGCGTACATAGCACATGATGCATCATGATGCTCCTGGACTCTATCACGACCCAAATTCCTCATGTTTCACCTTCAAGCTAATCTGATCCTGACACGTCTCTCAAGGTCGATTTGCAAGCGCTTTCATATTCACCAATGTTTCTGCTGTGTCTGTAGACGCCTCGAATCGGTGAAAATTTCTGTGCAGTCCAGTTACCTCCAGTATGAAATTAGTACTACGAGCACTTTCTAAATCTGATCGTTCTGGTCGATCACTAGTAGGCGTTGCAAACAACGTGAACCCCAGCTTGTAAGTGGATCCGGATGGTGCACGTCCTACTTCGCAGTTGTAGGCTTATAGTTACTATTGCCATGCCTTATTATGATTGATACCTGCCTCATTCTATGCTGTCTTCCCTCATCGGAAATAAAGTCTGTGAAAAAAACATGACTCACTCATCGTTTAGAATAACATGGTCAGCGTACAAGTACATGGGCACTATCATATCAATACGTAGTATTGCGATGCATATATATCTTCAGGGTTTCTCCACCGAGTCCGAAGTTCCTTTCTCATGCACTTCGTGATGATGCTTCTCACTCGGTTGCCAGCCTACTGATCGCCAGGGCGGAATGCCAGAGCGGTACAACTCGTCCACCTAGTTGTTCATTAGATGAGCAGAAATTTAGAACGTGCAATGAATTATTACCTCTTCTAAAGTTAAACCTTTGGTCTCAGGAATGGCAAAATACACGTAGATGTATCCAAAGACAAGCATGCCGAAGAAGACCATCATTATCATTGGACCGATCCTAGTGAGGTGTTCAGACAACCGAGAAATATTTTCAGAACATTTAGCTGTAGCTTAGACTCACCGATCGACAATCCTTGGAGAGAAGAATGAAAGCATGAAGTTCCAGAACCAGTCTTGGACAAGCGTGAGTAACGAATTCAAATAGTGAAAATGGAGCAATCGTACTTGTCGCGCTGCCGAGAGCAATTGACTTGGGGCGCACTCGAAGAGGGAAAGACTCCCCAAGGTACACCCACGGAGTAGGTCCCCAAGTCGTACCGAAGCTGAACACTTGAAATACTGCAAAAGCGATAACGACGTCGCCCCCAGCTCTATTACGAGCAGTAAGTGCCGAAGTTGGTGTTCCGGTAGGCGCAAGGGTGGTATACCCAACCACAGCAACCTAGTGGAAG